TCATCTTCTTGATAGATTTAATTTGCCAAGCCATTATACAAGGGAGCATACTCCTTATCAACAAGTATGAGGCTCACTTTAGTACATAAATATCACAATTTTTTAATTCAAGTCTGCAAATCAAGGAAACTTGTAATTTCTTCTGCACTTAATACTTTCTTCTCCTACCAATTATAAAAATAATTAGAGGTATGTACCCATACAAATTTGTTATTTTTATGATCATCATGATAAACCTATTGTAGTTCATAATTAAAAAAAACTTGTTCATTATGCATGTAATTCATATTCTCATCTTTTTAAAATATCAATCTGAGACTTTTCTGGAAAGGTGCATCTAAATTTCATTTGCATAATTTTGAACACACACAATCACACTGACATGTCTCATATTGTATACAGAGAATATCGAATCTGATATGTCTTTTGAATTCAATGCTGTTTTATGTTATGGGTAACAGTAAAGAAAGTTCTTGGAAAGGAGATGGGCAAATAAGGTGTAGCTTCAGATATACATGATGACCTAGTATAGGGCTGTCCAAAAAGCACAACAGTACACCAATTATTGTTACTTCTTTGAACTACCTAGATATGACGTCACAATATCATATAACGTCAAATCACTAAAAACATGAGCTGACATGACAGGGAAAATGCTTTAATTTTAAATGAAATATCAAAGAAAATTTTGTTTTGAGCTTTAATTCTTCAACTGCATAATTGTCACACTACAGGCATTTTCCTCACCTTGCTTGCCCATCTTCTTTAGTTTTCTTTCCTTTAAGAAAGGGAGACAAATAAACTAAGATGACTTTATTCAAAATATTAACCTCAGATTTGTTTACTCAAAATATTGAAATATTATTAAATACATTAAAGCAGAAGTAAATATAAAATGTACAGGTACATCCTAAATATGTAGAATATTAATATTACCCTGTTCAAACAAATAATTATGTTTGATGAAATATATCATGGTTTTTCTGTTTAATTACTAACCTTATATTACATATAGAGCGTTTCAAAGTACTAAAAGTTAGAAATGTAAATCAACCCATTCTTTAAAATTTTGTGGTAATATTACCTTCAAATTGTAGATATTTTTCAGCTCTCTTTTTCTATCTTCACTTAGAGTTTACTATATGGATGTCTGATGGCATTAAATGTTGATGTAGAATCTAACATGGATCGCAGTGAAGATATCTAAAACAATGATGAAAGAGACAAATATAACTGATTTATATCCATTGTAAAAACAGTATTAATTATACTCATTACCACATCTATTCACCACTTGCGCTCTTTCAAGAAATCCACTTGGTCTTACACCGATAATAAATATGATGTCATCTGAACAATGTAACATCATCTTTCACTATTTTATCAGGAAATTTCAAGCATGATTAAGGGGAAGAAGGACCTTTAGCTGAAAAAATACTTGTCATTCAATTTTTTTCATATTTTGTATATTTCTAATTAAGTATGTCCCACATATCTTAAAGCAGTTATATCATTAGGTTTCTGACCTTATTTTAGAGATATTGATTGACAAATATGATGCCCTACAGTATCTTAGTGGAGTTTTAATTCTCCATGTTTCCGGGCTCATTACTCTGTCCATAATTGGATTTTTAAAGCATATATAAAAAATATGTAAGTGAACATGTATCTTTTAAAATATTTCAGAGTATGAATTGGGTTTAAAATTCGAAAAGGCAAGTTTCATCTATCACACTGCATCTGGATAGGGAAAATTACGAACATTTTAAGACAACTTGAACAACAAAAAACGTAATTTACAAAAAATCTTATCATTCAATATTTTTAAATTTACGTTCAAATGCAAGTCCTTCAAATTATTGATTAACTGTAAAAATTTCGAATGGTGAAGCTGACCTTAATATTGCACAGGACATCGTTAAAGACGACATAAGCAGGACAAACACTTGTCATGTTTACATTTCTCGAGTACGGGAAAAACCAACTATGACGTCACACGTAAGCTAAATAAGCGAAATAAGATATACCTACATAAGATTTCTGTCATCAGCCATGCAAAAATAATTTTTGTGTTCCCCGTTTCTCAAAATACTTCATTCTATACTGATTATGACCTGTTTTTACATAATAATACCGCCCTTGTATTCACCGAGTATGATCTTGCTGTACTAGCTGATCGTGTATGACGTCACCGACTTGTTGGACACGCAGTTTAAAGAAACAGAGGAGTGGATCAATCTTTTTTCATAATTTGTTAATGTTTACAAGAATGTTAAACTTTTTATTTTTTTAATATAAGATGGTAATTAAAGAAAAAAAATTGTCAAAAATTTATACAAGAACTGATGCTTTACACGTTTTGCACTTATATAAATGGAGACTATGACGTAGTTTAACAAAGTCATGTGACCAGGTGTCCTTCATCCCCTTAAGTATTCCAAATTGAAATGCTTACATATCATTTATTGAATACGGGAACAAAAACTAATCTTGTAACTAAAGGCCTTGAAATAAAGTATGTATCTCATAATAAATCAACTAAATCCATTTTTCATCAGGTAAGATTAAAGATAATCCTTGTTTAAAAAATGATGTGAAGTCAGAATCAATGTGAACCTTTATTATTCAGTTCTCAAATGAATTTCAATAGCTTCATGATAACTGAAATACAATGACACTTTGTGCACACAGACTTTCAGAGGGTCAGTTACATATACATGATCCAATATTGTTCCACCCTCTGTTGTGTAAAACTGCACCATTTGCATAAATCCCATTGATTCTAAAAACCTCTGTATGGGTCCTTGCAATTTGGCATCTTCATTCATGTCACCTATAATAATCATGTTGCAAAAATGTCTCCTATAAAAATTCACCACTTTTTGTAATGTGTCAAGAAAATTGTTCACAGGTAGTACATTTGGCCGGTAGAGTATAATGATTACAATATCATATTGATGCATTTCTACAGTTATTCCTTCTATATTCTTGCATTCCAAAGGATTGATCAAGATTGTCTCATTTCTTTTCTTCCTGTACACTCCAACCCCACCACCTTTAGCTTTTCTTAGTCCTCTCATCAGGTCTTCACTATCATCATAACACTGGTTTCGTGCAACATGGTGAAAGTCAAAGCCTGAAATTTCAATATCTTGGATGTTCTCCTGTTCCTTCAACCATGTTTCTGTTAAACAAATAAAATCAACTTTCAATAATCTGTTGTCACAATTCATATCCTGAAAGTGTCCTCTCAAACTTTGAACATTGAACAAAAGAATTGTTTTGTAACTTCCATACTTTGTAGCACTGCATGTCAAGTCTTCACCTAAAATGTATCTCTCCATACTAGTAAGTGCTAATTTCACATCTAAATCAGCATAAATTTTTTTCTGCAGGACACTCTCATCATTGGTCTCAATGAATAGACCATCCTTTGAAGTCACGCGACTGATTGCTACATATGCTTGACCAGGAGAGAAAGTCCGATCTAAATTGACAACAACACTCTTGGTAGTCATGCCTTGAACTTTATGTGCTGTGCATGCCCATGAGAGTTTCAGTGGAAATTGATGTCTGACAACACTCTTCATATTTTTCTCATTTATCTCTTCTTCCACTCTTTTAATTGGGACAACATTTCCTTTGGGTGTCTTCTTTCCTTGAATTTTACCAATATTTCCACTATCAAAGATGACTTCAACTATTTCTACTTCTTTTACAGGCTGTTTGCTTTTAAATACAAAATTTGAAATATACCCCATTGCACCATTCACTAGGCCATCCTCAACACTTACATTTCGTGTTAGCATTACTCTTGCATTCACACCTAAAAGTAATGAAACAGAGAGCCCATCACCTCGAGTATTAATCAAAGGTTTGTCACGTAAAGTTAATTTCCCTGTTGTCCTGTCTTTTTGATAATCATCAGCATGTACTTCAATTAAATCTTCACAATTCCCATGCAACATTTTCAGATTGTATTCACTTGCCTCTTGGTTTGTAGAATAAACATGTAGAACATCATCTGGTCCTTCTCTAATGCATTCTTGAAGTGTTGCCAAAGATTCATCTGATATGGGTTCTTCAGATGTTCTAATACGCAATGAATTCAAAACAGTTGCAAATGCTCTATCTTCACGTTGTCGCATTATTTCATCCAACTCTACAATTTTAAAGAAATCTTGCCAGTAATCAATTGGATATGAACCATTTTCTTTATACAACCTCTCATCCTTTCGCTGTTTAACAGGTGGAAGTTGATAAAAATCTCCAACTGCTATCACAGACACACCACCAAATGGTTCTTTACATTTTTTGATTTGGACAAGTCGTTCATGAATGTAAAACAAAAGTCTTTTATATACCATAGAAACCTCATCTATGACCAAAATCTGCAAATGTTCTAATCTGGTTCTTATTCCACTCAAACTTTGTTCCTTCAAGGGTTGATATGGAATTGGTAAAGCTTTTGTTAAAGAAAAAACATGATGAATGGTATGTCCTCCAATATTGAATGCTGCTGTTCCTGTAAAAGCTGTGAGAATCACAGATACTGCATTTGGAGAAGGCAGTGTTTTTTCAAAGAGACGAGATGCTTCATAGTGTATTGTCTTTATCAGATGGCTTTTTCCTGTCCCTGCTCCTCCAGTTATAAAAATGTGCATAGGTTCAACATCTTCTCCAGATATTTTCTTTACACACCACTCATGAACAGCATAAAAAATCTGCCTCTGTTTTTCATTCAAACTGCGCAGTAAGGGAAGCATCTCTTTTCTGGTGTTTTGAGTTTCCCTTAAATGATAAATAATGTCTTCAGAACAAATATTCTCAATTTCGTGTGTGACTTCTGATTCTCTATTCTCCTGTTCCTTTGATTGTAATTTTTCATTCAAACATTCTCTTCGGTTTAATTCTGATTCTGGACATAAACTTGCCCATGCATCCTCTGGTTCACCAAGCATTTCTAATGCATCCTGAGCATTTTCAATATCATCCTCATTTTATGAGAAGTAATCATGATTACTATCCACTATGCTTTTGACTCTTTCTAAATTTCTGTTTGGTTTCACTTTGACATATCCATTCTCATAAAAAGTCTGGTATAAATCAAACCCAGGTGGTTTCAATTGATTAAGATTCCAGTATGGAAGGAAAAGTTGTAGGTGACACTGATAAAATTTTTCAGGTGCATTGTCACGATTGAATCTTGGATATCGTATAACAGCAGGTTTCCCTCTGCTTCTCTTTTGAATGTAACCCTTTGCATTTTTCAATTCATATACACCTTCTTTTTTGCCCTTGGGAATCTCAGATTTACTAAGCACTCTGTATTCTGAACAGAATTCAGCAAGACACATTTTATGGAAAAGATTTAACTCAGGTCGGTTTTCATACCTTTCCACAATATTTGTCATCCATATACTGTTTTCTTCGTCTTCGTCATCATCATCTGCAATCACATCATTTTCACCAATTTTGACGTCCTGGTTCTTTTTTATTTCTGCTAGAGGCTTACTCAATCGAGTTGGATTTTCTCCCACAGGAATGAAATTGACTTTTCTTGAACTCTCTTTCATCTTAAGATTGCACACCCTATAAACTGCTTCCTGTGCACTCACTTCTCTGTGATTTAGATAAGCTGACCCTACCCTCTTGATGGTATCATGTGCACTCAAATTTCCCTCTGCTGCTTCTATCTGTGTTTGCTTTAATAGCATTCCCATTTCCCTTTCAGATTTTGAAATATATGATATAATATAGACGATGCAGCTGAAAGGGTCCAATACATACTGTATGTCCATATTGGCATCCCAGCTTTTGAGCAGGCATGGATTGTATTGATTTGTCCACATTTCTATTGGATTTCTTTTCAAAATAGTGGTGGTTTTAGAGGCCAATACTCTATGTGCTTTTTCATATAAATCCTGTGATAGCTTTATATTGGTGAATATTTCCTCTGTTGTTCTACATGCATTAGCGTCATTGGTAATTTCATTCCACACAATTAACAAAATCTCCTTTGCCTGCGCACAAGTTAATTCATTACTTGAATCATCCATATTTTGTTCCAATTGTCTTGAAATGAATGTACGCTCAGATGGTGGTCTAGGAAAATTGAACCTACACTCTGTTCCTTTTTTCCTACATGATTTCGAGTGACTTTTGCTGTGCTGTTGCACATCTAATACACTTTGTCGAAGTTCTAGGTCAGTGTCCTCTGACGGTAGAGCACAAGTGATATGCCTATCAATGAAGTGACAAACAGTCTCCTCACTGTCTTCATCTAATTTTGGTGAATTCTCAACCCAGTACAAGCAATGCATATGAGGAGAACCCCTCTGCTGAAACTCAACTCTTACAAAGTAATCTACAATATGTCCAATGGGTTTTGCTGGTGACATTATTACATTCTTCTGGAAAATATGGAACCTATGTTCAAACATCCTTGCAACAGTAACAGGATTGCTTCTCAGAATTTCACTTTTCGCAGACCAGTCTAAATCAGAGGGATTTCTATTGTCATTCATTTGTAGCATAATTGAACTCAGTATTTCATTCCACCTGAATTCTGCAGAAGAAAAAGAACAGAACCATGTTGGAATTCCAAGTTGTCGAAGCATAGCAAAAAGATCTTTTTGAGCAGTAGACCAATATGCAGGTGTTCCTCTAATTGGTTGCATAAACCGCATAGCCTCATCAGTTTTGAGCAGTTTTGCAAGTACAATTGGATTTTGTAACATTTCTGTTGTGACTTGTATCCCTCCATCAAGTTTTGATACAGATTTCCGAATTGAAATTTGAGTTTTCTCAATCACCTGGTTCAATTCAGATAAATATTGACAAAAGAAGATGTAATTTGTATCCTTTGCAAATCTATTATCTGCATTCATCAGCCTGTTGTTAAAATATCGAGAAAGTGTTATCCTTACATCTCGACTTTCATTCCATGAATATTTTCCAGATGGATATAAGTAAGGAAATGTCTTTACTTCATTGCCCTCCTCTTGCAACATTCTTACTGGATTTTGTCCCTCACCTGGAGCTATGTTATACACATCATCGAAGTAGTGATCTAGAACTTCTTGGGCAATATCTACAGGTTGTAAACAAGTATCTGTAGCAACTTCTTGAATTGCAATGTTTTGTTCTTCAATTATTTCTTCATTGTCAAATACTTCTGGCTGGCAGAATAAGGTACTTTGGTCATTACCTTTCTCCCATGTTGTGTTGATTTCAACATTATGATACCACTGATTATTTTCTTTCAGATAATTGAGAGCTATTTTAATGTCATTTGGGTTTACAAACTGATATTCATAATATCCCTTATAGGACAACTTTCGTTTGAGCTTAACTCGTAATAAAAGATTTTCATTTCCATTCAGAGGCAAACTGCTTGTTTTCTTAAGGTTCGATGGCACACATACAACAGGTCCATGTTCATTTTCCTGGCCACCTTTTGGAAGCATCATTACTTTCATGAAAGGTATATGAAGAGCAATTAGATGCTGCTCTAAACTATTCAAGTTACTGAGCTCTGGAGGAATATCTTCCAAATACATTTTGTTGAAAGCTGCTTCAGCAGGAACATTTCCACTTAGAATTTTTCTATGGCATGTAAAACAAATCCAAGTACATGATTTCGGACAATTTTGAGAACATGCAGATGTACAACTATGAACATATTTCTTATCCATGCACAAATTTGCAACATGAACTGCCTTAATACTTTTTTCATACATTTCAAGTGTACATCCTTGTACCTGGTTTTCAAACAAAAGGCGATGGCAGCAGCAACATACATATTCTGGTCCATGTCTAACACAATTTTTAAATGATTTCACCACTTCATCAATGTTTTTAAGCATTTCATGCAGTGCTTGTCTTTGTTTTTGTACAGATTCCTTAATCTGTGTCTTTGTTTCTGCACTGGAATGATATTTTACTTTACTAGCTGTTTTAACCTTTTCATGGTGCTGTTTATCTGTTTTATACTTCTGTCTGCTTCTTCGTTTGACTTCCTCCTTATGTGACTGATCTGTTTTATACTTCTGTCTGCTTCTTTGTTTGACTTCCTCCTTATGTGACTGATTTGTTTTATACTTCTGTCTGCTTCTTTGTTTGACTTCCTCCTTATGTGACTGATTTGTTTTATACTTCTGTCTGCTTCTTTGTTTGACTTCCTCCTTATGTGACTGATTTGTTTTATACTTCTGTCTGCTTCTTTGTTTGACTTCCTCCTTATGTGACTGATCTGTTTTATACTTCTGTCTGCTTCTTCGTTTGACTTCCTCCTTATGTGACTGATCTGTTTTATACTTCTGTCTGCTTCTTTGTTTGACTTCCTCCTTATGTGACTGATTTGTTTTATACTTCTGTCTGCTTCTTTGTTTGACTTCTTCTCTGTGTAGCTGGTTTGATTCATACTTTTGTTTACTTTTTTCTTTCACTTTTTCTTTGTGTAGCTGGTTTGTTTTATATCTTTTAACACTTATTTGTTTTAAATTTCCACGATAGTTTTCATTATTTTTGTATCTTTTCTTAGCATCTGCAATGCATTTTGTTTTGAATTCTGGGTCTGTCTTGTACTTCATGTTTTTCTTGTACAATTTATTTTCTTTAGCACTAACATCTGACATCTCAAGTTTGCATCTTTCATTTTGGAATGAAATAGATTCTCGCTGTTGTCTCTTCTGGTTTCTATCTGCAATTTTCCTAGTGTTATGTTTCAAACATAATAGTTTCTGTGATTGAATTGCTGATACATTTTTTCCCAAAGTAACAGATGTGACAACATTGTAATGATTCTGATTCTTATGATCTAAATAAATACCTCCCAGTGAGGCCATGTTTTCTTCTGGATTCACCATCAATCCTGAAAAAGTAACCCATTTGTTCTCTGAGTATGTATGAATTTCAGTTTTCAATAAATGGGACAGTGCAAGAATCTCTAATTCAGTTGCCCATCTTCCATCCATGCACATGCTTGACAAGGAAATGTGGTTCTCTACAGAATTTTCACCTGGCCTTAAGAATGGTGTGAAAAGCAAATCATTTTCCATGAGATGATGACATACTGCTAAACGTATTGTGTGATGAAAGTCTTCCTTTCCTGTTAAACAGAATGAAATTGCTCTAAAGAAACAATTTCCATCTGGATCAACTAGTACAGTGTTCATTGGCACTGTTATTTCTTGTCCATACTCATGCTGATTTTCACATTTATGCATTGAATATGGTATTTTTAAGATTTCACAGTGTGTTTTCTTCTGATCATCAGAAAGTGGTAAAAATCTTATCTGATGCTTCTCACTCCCAACAAATTCTACCTCATCAGCATTTTGTAAACCAGTACTACTAATACTGCATTGAAACTCTCCAGATTTGTTTAGTTCATGCTCTTTATCACTGATTTGTAATTGTTTTTTAATGCCTTCTTCCTTACCCAATGAAAGCTGTCTAACTGAGCATTGCACTCCAGTTATTTCACATTCCACTGCTTTCGAATAACCCATTGACCTAGCTAAAGACAAAATATGATTGCATAAATCTTGTACTGATTCATACAATACTCGTGTACTTCTACCATGTACACTCTGAAATCCTGCAGATGACCTTGAGTGAGAATCAAATGTGAAGAAATTATGTTGACATTTCCCAATCAAAAATGTATTTCCACCAAAACACACAAAACAACCATCACTGTCATCAAGGGCTATTTGAAGTGCATCTAATATCTGATAAGCATTAAAGTCGGTATAATTTAGTACTACACCTGCCAAGTTTATCAGGCTTGGTAAAGACTCATTTGCTTTAAACTCAAACATTCTACCAAAGCATTCAAAAAACTGAGGCAATTCACTTACTAAAAGGTATCTGTTTGCAATTGTTGAACTACACTGTAGATATGAGTACATCTCATCTCCTATTGCCAAAATTTTGTTCATATCTTCATACTGCCATTGCTCACAATTCTTTAATTTATGATATGCCAGTGCTGTTAAAGAATTTGCTACACACTGAGTTCCACTATTTTCACCAAACATTGGATCTCCCTGATGAAATGAACCTTGCACAGACAAATTCAATTTTTTTGAAATTTTACCATCACTTGTTCTACCACTACCAGTAACTTGTGTAGTCACTTTTCTATCACTATTCACATTGTTTTCAATCATACATGCATTCTCATTTTTTTCAACTTCAAATTTCTTCTCTTTTGTGTTATTCATTTTGCTTCTACCAGTACATGTGTCATATCCTTGCACGGGTATCTCTTTACCATTTCTTTCATATCTTTCCGATTTCTCTGTATATTTCTTTGATTTCTTTTCAAATTTCTTTGATTCTTCTATATTTTTCTTAGTTTCCTCTATATTTCCCTTATTTTCCTCATTGTGGCACTCATCTTTTTTTAATGTCCTGCTGACCTCTTTCCCCTTGGAAGGTATCAGCTGCGCCTGACCTGCTGAATCTGACATCATCCAAATGTCCGATTCAGGTACTCTCGGTGGAGTACAAACCCACGCTGGGGAGTCAGGGGATGCTACCTTGTCTTTTGGGACAATCAGACGACTTCCCCGAGGAGATGACAACCTCGGGGCTGAGTGCATTCTCTCACAAGGAGAGGCCTGCACCCTGGCCAAGGGTTTTAGTGTAGTAGGTGGCAACCCTATAGAGCCACACTCTGAGCCAGGAGCAGCTTCATCGACTTCTCTCTGTGGAGCATTGGACTCTGTCACTGGTTTTTCTGATGGAATATCATGGCAGGACTCAAGTTTCCTTTGCCTCTTCCTCTCAACATCCTTCCTGCGCTCTTTTCTACCAGTGAGAGACTTTCTCTTAGGCATCTTTAAAAAAATCAAACCATCAAAATGCAAAACTATCACCCCCAATCTTTCTAGCTTTCTTTGTCACTAATGTCAGTGTATATATATTAATGATACTAATCAAATACAGACTTCCAAATGGTTAATCTCAAAACAGTCTGACTGATTAACCAGTTAATGGAATCATATGCACTTTTTTTGACATACTTTTTCCAGTAACAAAATTTTCTAGATCAGATATATCATACAAGTTCATTCTGCATTGTCACCATAATCATAACTACGTCTAATTGACTTAACATGGCTTTTCTATTCTTCATCAGATTTCTTCATATACATTCCCATGTAAAACTTCGATCGTCCATTGTGGCCCCACCCTACCCCAAGGGGTCATCATTTGAACAAATCTGAATCTACACTACCTAACGATGCTTCCATATCATAATGACTAATCATGCCTTTGTATTCTTGAGAAGACAATTGTTAAAGATTTTTTGCTATATATTTCCACGTAAAAAATTTATCCCCTATTCTGGCCTCAGAACAAATCTAATTTTAATCTTCCTGAGGATACTTTCATATCAATATAACTAAACATGGCTTTCCTATTCTTGAGAAGAAAAGTTTTCCCTATATATTAGTTATTACTCTGTAAAAATTTAAACCCCTGTTCTGGAACTACCCTACCCCAAGGGGTCATGATTTGAACAAATCTGTATCTTCACTACCTGAGGATGCTTCTACATCACAATGAGTAATCATGGTTTTGCTATTCTTCAGAATAATTTAAATAAAAATTCCTATATAATCCAATGTAAAACTTTGATTCCCCATTGTGACTCCACCCTACCCCCACGGGATCATGATTTAAACAAACTTCAATTTACACTATCCGAAGATGCTTCTATCACAATGACTAATCATGGTTTTGCTATTCTTGAGAAGAAAATTTTTTTAAAGATTTTTTTCACTATATATCCTTATGTAAAATTTTGATCTCATATTGTAGCCCTACCTTACCCCTGGGGTTATGATTTGAACAAATCTGAATCTACTCTACTTAAGGATGCTTCCATATCTAAATGACTAAAGATGGCTTTTCTACTCTTGAGAAGATTTTTCCCTACATTAATTCCTATGTAAAACTTTGATCCCTCATTGTGGCCCCACTCTACCTACAGGGGTCATCATTTGAACAAATCTGAATCTACACTACCTGAGGATGCTTTCATATCAATATGACTAATCACAGCTTTGAGAAGAGGATTTTTAAAGATTTATTCCTATATATATTCCTCTGTAAGACTTTGATTCCCCATTGTGGCCCCACCCTACCTCTAGAAGTCACGATTTGAACAAAATAGAATCTACCCAACATGCGGATGCTTCCACATAAATATGACTCATCATGGCTTTGCTGTTCCTGAGAAGAAGATTTTTAAAGGTTTTTCCTATATATTTCTATGTAAAACTTTGATCCTCCATTGTGGCCCCACCCTACCCCGGGGAGTCATGATTTGAATAAACTTGAATCTACACTACCTGGGGATGCTTCCATATTAATATGACCAATCAGGGCTTTGTTGTTCCTGAGAAGAAGATTTTTAAAGGTTTTCTCTACATATTTCTACGTAAAACTTTGATCCTCTATTGTGGCCCCGCCCCACCCCGGGGGGTCATGATTTGAATAAACTTGAATCTACACTACCTGAGGATGCTTCAATATAAATATGACTCATCATGGCTTTGCTGTTCTTGAGAAGAAGATTTTTAAAGGTTCTCTCTATATATTTCTATGTAAAACTTTGATCCTCCATTGTGGCCCTGCCCACCCCGGGGGGCCATGATTTGAACAAACTTGAATCTACACTACCTGACGATGCTTCAATATAACTATGACTCATCATGGCTTTGCTGTTCTTGAGAAGGAGATTTTTAAAGGTTTTCTCTATATATCTCAATGTAAAACTTTGATCCTCCATTGTGGCCCTGCCCTACCCCCCGGGGTCATGATTTGAACAAACTTGAATTTACATTACCTGATGATGCTTCCATATAAATATGACTCATCATGGCTTTGCTGTTCTTGAGAAGAAGATTTTTCAAGGTTTTTCCTATATATTTCTATGTAAAACTTTGATCCTCCATTGTGGCCCCGCCCTACCCCCAGGGGTCATGATTTGAACAAACTTGAATTTACACTACCTGAGGATGCTTCCATATAATTATGACTCATCCTGGCTTTGCTGTTCTTGAGAAGAATATCTACACAACCTGAGGATGCTTCCACATCAGTTTCATCTTTCCTGGCCCTGTGGTTCTTGATAAGAAGATTTTTAAAAGATGCTATTAATTTTTCACTAATTCTTTATTATCTCCCCTTGAAAGAGGGCATGGCCCTTCATTTAAACAAACTTGAATCCACTTCACTCACGGATACTCTGTGCCAAGTTTGGTTGAAATTGGCCCAGTAATTTTGGAGAAGAAGATGAAATTGTGAAAAGTTTATAACAAAAACAACAACGCCAACACCAACGACAAGAACGACAGACAACGGACAAATTTTGACCAGAAAAGCTAACTTGAGCCTTTGGCTCAGGTGAGCTAAAAATGAATCCCACCATATGCATGCCTCAACAAAGAGTGTACTAAAATTTCAAGCATCTTCAATGAATAGTTGTTGAGAAAACTGTGATGAAAATTTAATACATATTGTACAGACAAACATACAGATAAACAAGAAGTTGACATCAGATTCAAATAAAAATAAATCCCACCATATGGCATGCCTGAACAGTATTCTAAAATTGCATGCATCTGCAATGACTAGTTGCTGAGAAAACTATGACAAAAATTTGTTATGTATGGTACAAAAATATACACAGATTAACAGGAAGTTGACATCAGATTCATACAAAAATGAATCCCATCATATGGCATGCCGAAACAAAGACTATGCTAAAATTTTGAGCATCTGTGATGAGTAGTTGCTGAGAAAACTGTGACAAAAACTTGCTATGTATGTTATGGACAGACACCGGATAAACAGCAAGTTAACACCAGATTTGTACAAAAATGAATCCCAATATATGGCATGCCTAAACAAAGAGTTTGCTTAAATTTCAAGCACCAGCAATGAATAGTTGCTGAGAAACTGCGATGAAAAATTTGTTACGGACAATCACGAAGATGGACAGACAGACACACATACACAAGGGTAAAACAATATACCCCTCTCCTTTTTGAGGGGGGTATAACAACCAGGGTAGTTTAACTTATGACTTCTGAAATTTTTAGAGGCAGGGATTTGATATTTACAATTTATATATGTTTTTGAGCTCATGATACTGTACTTTGAAACTGTATGATATTCAGTTAATACACAAACTTATATTTAAAGACCATGAAAATACATCAGGATCAGTTATGTAGACTGACAATTGCAGTAAAGACAGACTGAAAACTCTTTTGAAGGATTGTTGGAAAGGAAACATGTACATGTTTTCATAAAATGATAAAAAAAATTATTTCTAATCATTTCAATTTCATAATTTATTTGATGATTGAGGAACTATATTTTCTTTGATTGTCAGATTCTATCCCAACCTCTTTGCAGCCAAATGCATGAACTAGCAACCTAGTGGTAAATAAATAGATGACTACTCTTACAATTATTTATCTTTAATGAAGCTATAATAAAGCAAGCAACACATTCGTTCCTAAATAGAACACTCTAGTAGTATAAATGAGAGCCCTTCATCCAATGCTACTTTGTAGCAAATTTGATAAAAATTCTTAAAGGGATTCTTGAGATAAGGTCCACATTCAAACTAGAGATACTATAAGTAACCTCAAAAATTAATACCCGAGACACAATTTACTTTTTTAGGTGCACAGTCAAATTGTGTAAATGTGACCTTGAACATGCCAAAAAAATATTTGTTAAAAAAGGCATATTCTCTACATATTAGTAATCATTCAGTGAAATATGGACGTGCAACATTTCTCAATCAGAAAATTATTACCTGAAACCACAAGTCAGGCAGCATAAGGACAAATTTTTCCAAGGTACAAAGCCAATAGGTTAAACCTACCCACCTAAATTTTTTACAAGCTGATTTACATTGGAATTCCTAACCTGTATTTTAACAACAAAAGTAAGTAGAAGAAACAATAAAATTACTGATAAAACATATTGATGTGTTTCTCTTGCATGGAACTGTTTATTCAATGTGATTCACAAAATGTCTTGTCCATCTGACCTTTAATCTGCATTTCAACACTACTCAATCAGTTCATTTGTCTTGAAGAAAAGTGGTGACATAATCATTTTGTGCCAAAGTAATGAGTAAATTCATTGGATGTTCTATTCAATGGCTGTGATAAATCCATGAAATTAAAATTTCTTTTTGTAACCTGATTCTCATATTTTTCAATCTTCATTTATTTTAAAAACAAAGAAGTAACATTTCGTTTATGGGCAGTTAATACAAACGCAATGAATGATTATTTTGTCATCTTTTGTAAATATTTGTTTAGCTTCTCTGGTTTGGTACATTTTGTCTTTTAATACACAACATTGTGAAAATTCATCATGACATCAATATATGTCCTTTCTTTTTATACAGCCCCATAGTATGCAGGGGCCTCCCCCACCTTTTTGTGAGAAAAATATTTTCAATTGTATAGTTTAACAAAATGTAAATTGTCATTTTGATGCTGCCCCCCCCCCCCCCCACGCATTTTTTGTTGCTGTATTATTGACACGGAGCCATTTCAGCATTTAAAGAAATTGGTACGAAGAAGTTAGAATTAGACAAAGCTTTCCCCCTCTTAAAACAGGGTTTTCGACTTTGGACAGATTATTTGGGGGGTGGGGGATGAGGTTACCCCCTCCCCCTTCGAAAAATGTTATTAAGGGCCTGTTATATTAATTTTTTGAAAAAAAATTATTTGTTTTCAAAATTATTATAAATTTAATATTATCCATAAAATATTAATGCATAAAACTACTTGCTACA